GTCCCATCACCAGTAGCAGAATTAGGCTGGGAAACTTAAGATTCCATCAGAGAAGTAACAGAAAGATCTGTTTATAGCAGATATGGCCTCCAGTCTCTTCTGCACAGTACCTCATTCTATTCCTGAGATGGAGAACACAGGCAGCGGGGAGAGGATGGTTGAGAGGAAGGGACTCAGAGGTACAAAGAGCATTCTTAGGTCTTTGAAAGCTATAACCAGCCCTCAGCAAAACTGAAGCAATTACAAGGTCTGTTTCCAACATGTTCCTTCCCTGCACTGCGCCCTTCCATCTATTGACTGATCCCTCCCAGGTACCTGTCTCCTTCATGAAGGGCGCCTACTCCCAACTGCCACCCCTTCTCCTCTGAGGCAAGGTCAGTGAACTTGACTTCTGGGCTCAGCGCCACATTGACGAGGCCATGTGGCCTGTGACAGGCACCTCTCTGCATGCCTACCTTCCTCTTTGGTGAAAATGGACTGCTCCTAGTCGCGTGTGGGTGGAAGGGTCGTGCGGCACAAGTGAAACCCACGGGGGAACTGTGGTCAAGGAGGAGGGCGAGTAGTGAGAAGACCACATTGCACCCCCGATGACTCTTTCCCACCCACACCCACGCTCTCCTCTGGCACAGATGGCCGCGAGAGCCCCTACCAGCCTGCAGAGAGCCATCTTGGCTCCTCTCTGGCTCCTCATGGACAAGGAAGGTTTGGAAGGTCTGGCTCTGGCTCTCGGAGGCTGATCTTTGTCGGCAGAACACGTTGTTCCTTGAGGGAGGGATGAGATGCGAGCAGAGAGCAGGCTGCGTGTTGAGGAGGGGCTGAGGCCAGGGGTCCTGGGGGGCATCGGAGCCCGCTGTGCAGGTGCCTGCCCTCCCGGGGGCCTGGGGACATGCTGTCCTGGGAGGGATCGGCACACAGTCTGAAGCTGGAGTCAAGGGAGCAAACCTCCCAGGATGGCGGGAAAGGAAGAAGGTGGTCCAGAGACCTGGCTATGCGAGCTATGGTGAGGACTCAGCTGCCTGTGTGACCATCCGGGCTGCAACAGTAGAGTTTTTGTGAGAAACTGCCTGCTCTAACTGTGTGCCCTTGTCTCCTGCCTGCCTGCCTTTATTATAGGCAGAAAGGAAATAAAGCAAAGGGAGGCTCTAGCAGAGAGCACCCAAGGGGGGGCGCTCTGAGCATCAAAGGACAAAGCAGACAACACTGTCTCCAAATCTGTTACTGTCTGATGTCACCAGGAGGGTTGGGGACTACCTCTGTATTCTTTGACAATCAGGTGTGCAACTCCTCCTCCATATGGGTGGAGGAGTTTTTGACCTTAGTTGGTCCTCCCCAGAACTGTCACAGTGGCCATCCTGTTTGGGGGGCTTCATCTACGAGTCAATCCCATGTTAGTGTGGACATGGGTCAACAGCTGGTCAGAAGTTACCTCAGTGTGCCTGTGCTACTAAAGGGCTCTTCTTCCCAGATAATTGGAGACACTGATAGCCCCGATTCCTAGCTTTACATCAACATCAACGGACCCTCTCAAGTTAAGTCCCATTTATCCTTTTCTCGTGACATAATTTCCAACTAGCTCCCTTGCTTCTGTTTATTTTCTACAAAATTAACTATCACCCTTTGCTTTCTCATCTACTTTGGAAGTTGTTTAAAGACGACCCTAAAGTAATTTAAAGAACACTTGTGACCTTGCCTGCATTTTACTGTGATTACTCAGGCCTATGCCCTACTTAACAAGAAGTAGCTATTGATTTGACTTCACCTCCCCTCATTCCCTGGGTGATTCAGGGTCTCCAGTCCTTGACGGGGGATATTAGGTATTAACTAGTAGTGAGGTGGTCTCCAACTCTCTTGGTTCTCCTTTTTATTTTAAAAGAATCCTCAGTGTCAAGGATAACAGGAGTTTTTCTGGTCATAAGGGCCACCTGGGCACTGGCTGATGTGACTGAGCCCCAGACCTCTCTTTGCAGAGTCTGATCACTCAGACCTCAGGTGGGCCCTGTGATCTGGGTTTGCAGCAGGTGCACCTAGGTAATCCTGATGATCAGGCCTGCCAGGGATTCCCCAATGAGACCCAACCCCTTATTATGCTTATAAAGAATCCGGGATTTAGGAAAGGTAAATGCCTCATCTAAGTCACAAGCAGGGTCCAGCCTTGGAGAAGGACATATCACAGTCAAAGTCTCTGTGCCTGCAGGTTCCATGCCTATGCGTCATCAGGAGAGACCTCAGACTGTGAAGATGACATATGGCTCCATCATGTAGCTACTTAGGGATGCAACTGGGCGGGAACCTGGATCATCATAGGATGCTGCCTTCCTGCAGAGGCCTGACTTCCTGTGGGTGGTGGAGCCCTTTCCCTGGGGCCAGCACAGCCCCCACACAAGGGGAGGCAGAGAGAACTACTTACTGTCTAAGGCTGCCTCTCCCCTCTGCCTCTTTTCCTGGTCCAGAGTGAGACCTGGTGTTTGCTGACAAGAGGGAGAATGAGTCACCTCCGGCCACTCACTGTCACTGGGGTGACACATAACTTTGCAGGTTTGCGCACAGGGAACAGCCACCTCCCAGCCCTGCATGCATATCCCTGCATGCAGCATGGCTACCCAGCCACCTGGCTGGGCCAACAGGGGTCCCTCTGGCTCAGCGGGGCTCCCTGAAGCCCGTCAAAACAAGAGGGTCCTGGAAGGCCATGTTTTGCTACAGGCTGGACTTCGGGGCTCACGCTGCCCCCTCAGCTCTGTGCCGCTCCGTGGGTTCTGTGGTTTGGCATTTCCTTCCTCACCCTGTTAGAGCTGGAACAGCCGCAGTCTGGCTGTTGGTGATACGGTAAGAAGCCATACCGCAGAGAGCGCAAGGCCTCGTGGAGATCTGAAACAGCTTTGTGAGCTGGCCTGAGTGCTGTGGGACAGGGGTGTTGAGGTGCGGCTCAGCCTGCCTCCCAAGGCCTCGCTGAAGTGTCACCTCCTTCCTTGTTGAGGCAGGAGTGTTTTAAACTGCAACCCAGCCCAGCCCTGCACGTGCACGCCCCCGCCCAGCCCCCCACCACTGCGTGTATATAATGGCATTTCCTTATTCTGAAGTCACCTCCTTATTCACCATTTATCACCTGCCTTGCCCTTCAAGCCATGAGCTCCTGGGTCTGCTCTTCTCACTGGTGCACCCTGAGCACCCAGCAGACTCCCTGGCCCCGAGGTCCTTAGTGCATATTGTTGAGTGACTCGGCATTGAATGGGAGTGGCTGCTGTAGCCAGCACCTGACCTGGCCACGGTGCAGGACGAGAGAAAGGCTCCCTGACCACAGTGGGGGACCTTCAGCATGCCCACCTCCTCACTAAGCAACCATTTAAAAGAGCCACAAATAATCATGTCACAAACATTCTGATGGCATGATCCGGAGGCGCCTAGGGAGCCCTGGGCCCTGCTTTAAAGCACCCCCACCCCTGGAGCGGGGGGTTGCTGAAGTCTGAGTTCCAGCAATGATGTGGTTGTGGAGGCTTAAACATTGTCCTCCTTCTTTGTCCTCTTAAGCTCCTGGTATGTTATCAAATTCACCTGCCTGGCCACTGTCCTGGGTAGCCGCAGTTCCCTGGGGAGTGGAGAGGAGGGGGTGGGAGTCTGTGGAGGGATGGAGGGAGCAGTGGATCTCAAGGGCTGAGGACTGCACTTGCTAACTCAGCAAGTGTGTCTTAGACCAAACTTGTCACCTGGAGATGGTCATTAGGTGAAGGAACGTAGATAGCAGGTCACTGTCATAGATGGCAGAGCTCAACAGTGTCTACTCCCAGGGAGCTTCCCACACAGAGAAGTAACCCAAGGACGGGGGCATCCAAAGGACGCTGGCTTGGACACCAGAGAGGCTGGCTTGGAGGGTGCTGTGTGAACTGGGGAGACTGGGAGACTGGTGGGCACCCACATTACTCTCCTTCTCCTTTTCAGTCCTAGGGATGGAACCCAGGGCCTCATTCGTGTTAGGCAACCATTGGACCACTGAGCTATGCCCCCAGCCCCCGTGTCCCTCTTGTTGTTGGGGCCTCTGTTGCCTCTTCTGTAGAATGAAGTTGGACCTGACCATCTCCGCGGCCCCTCACAGTTGCACCGAGTCTCTGGGGAGCAAAGGAGCAAGAGCTGGCATGGACGCCCGCTGCTGGGGTGCACTCGCGGTGTGGTCCTGGTGGCAAAGGCACTCTCTGTCCTGGGGCCCGGGGACTTGCCAGTTCCAACATGCAAGCCCCTGAACACAGGGTTTCTTGAGGAGTCTTGGCCAAGGTTGGCCTCGGGATGGGCGACTCAGGAAGCCTCTCTCTGTGCCCTCAAGGAGACGGCTTCTCCAAGTCTCCATGAGAACCCAAGTCACTGAGGAGAGGCAGGGAGGGGAGCATGGTAGACGACAGGACGCAGAACACCCCGTGAGAGATTGCAGTGAGGGGCGGGGATGTAGAGCACTTGCCCAGCATGCGTAGCCCTAGCACTGCCAAAGGGGGCAGGGAAGAGCAGAGTTTGTGATAAAAAATATGCAACGGGCAGCTGATGCCCGAGGGCCAGGAGATGGTCTGATGAATGCTGGGAGCAAGACAACAAAACAGCACAAGGATGTTTGACCAAGAGTCAAGGGACGTCATCCTCAGGAATAACAGCACCATAAACTCTGCCCCTGTAGTATCCAGATCCCAAGGCAGCAGCATCTCAGAGGAGGGGACCAGGTTTGAGCTGACAAGTCCCAAGGACGGGCTCAGAGCTAGATTGAAGGCTCATCCAGACGCAGGTCAGCCCAGGGGCAGAAGGGACCAGCAGTGCAAGCTCTGATGCCCAGGTCAGGTGACAAGTTCTGGGAGGAGGTGAGGAGACCCCCTTGGAGTTGAAGGTGTGAGTCTGGCTGGGGACCCTCAAAAAGAAGGCTGGTCAAAGTCGGCCCAGGGGCTCCGAAGTCGGAGAGTCCAGATCACTTCTGGGCTCAGCGGAAACCTTGAGGCCAGGGGATGATGTTGTTTCTTTTTAATTTGTAGGATTCTCAGCAAGTTAAGTCAAGAAATCAACAAGAACGAAGAGAGAAGGAGCATCTTCACACGCCGGTGAGTAGGGCACTCAGGTGGGGCTTGGGGTGGATCTAACTAACCCAAGAATTTTTGAACCCAAGTTGAACCCTCAAAGGAAGCCACAGAACTAGTTTTGTTCCACTGTTTGACCTGCAGGGATCCTTTAAGTCCTGGGGGTTTTGAAGATGGTGCCCGAGGAGAGGAGGGGTCCCCTCTTCCTGCCCTGCCCTGTCTTGGAATCTAGGACATCAGGGGGATGTCCCCCCAAGATGGCAGGCAGTCACAAACTCCCAGTGGTTCCACCAATGTGGCTTTGGTGGTTTCCAGAATTTGGGGGCAGCAGAGCCCTGATTGCCAGCAGGACATCCTCCTGGGCAGTGAGGCATGCTGTCCGCTGGGGGCTCGTGGGCAGGGGGGCATTGAGGGAGGGGCGCTCCTCAAGTTGCAGGACCCTTAATGCCATGCTCTTTGCCTTGCAGACCCCAAGTCCAGCGGTTTCCAGAAGAGACAGGTAAGGGTGTTAGGGCTGAGAGGCCATTGCTTTAGGGGTGATAGATTCCTCAAGTCTTCTGTCCTCTGATTCCCAGGGCTTCTCGGGTGCTGGGGAGGTGACCCTACTCATTTGCCTGCCTGTCAGTTTTTACCTAGAGAAAGCTTGGGTCTCAGAGTGCAGGAAAGATGGCATTCTGCAGGATGCCTGGATTAAGGCCACTGGGCTCCTTGGCAGAGACAATGAGGGATTCTGGGAGCTCTGTGGGGCTGTTGGAAACACCCAGCCTTTGCCTGAGCACCTGCCCTGAGCCAGGTCCCCTGCTTCTGTAGATTTAAAGCAGTTTTCCACTGTTAAATTGCATGTAGTGTTGAAAGGCAGATTCCTGGGTCCCACCTAGTCCTGCTGAACAGGAAGCCCTAGGGATAGGGTCCCAGAGGTCTGCATATTTTAAAACAGTCTGAGATGACTTCTATGTACATGAAAGTTTGAGAGTCATTGTTACTTTCTGGTAGAGTGAGCTCCAACATAGAATTCCAGGGTGATAGTAAGTTGCTATTGTAGTCTGTTTTCTGTTACAATAACAAAAAACTTGAGGCTATGAGGTTTATAAAGGAAAAAAAGGTTCATTTTGTTCATGGTCCTAGAGGGCCAAGAGCACAGTGCTGGCATTTGCTCAGCTTCTGGAGAGGCCTTCATGGCAGATGTCCTCACCCAGTGGGACCCTTGAGAAAGTGAGGAGGTGGCACATGTGGAAGTGACCGAAACACCATGGGTAATCTTGCTCTATAGCAACTTGCTTTTGCGGTGACTAATCCAGTCCCGTGAGACTCAAATCACATCTGTGAGACCTGGTCCTGTCTCAAGAGACCTAACCAATCTCTGCACAAAGACCTCAATCCAGTGAGAGGGCGGAGCCCCCAGGACTGAGGACCTCTTCCAGGCCCCACCCCCTCTCAATTCCACTGCAGGGATCAGATTTCCACAGGAGCCAGTGAGGCTAATGGCATCTAAACTGGTACAGAGGGAAGGACGCAGGCCTGGGGAGGGACCACCTGTGGGGGAGCCGCTTTGACTTTCCCTCAAGATGGCTTCTTTGGTGCTGATGACGGTGTTGTCTCCTCCCACAGAAAACCATGAAGAGGACGGGGGCTGGTCATCCTTCGTGAGTATGGCGGGGCTGTCCTCTGTAGTAAGAAGGAGAGGCAGTGCCCAGGGAGACAGCCTCTGATAAGGTGGTGGCTCCCCCGGGGCTCAGAGCGTGTGTGCTGCCCAGGGCGAAGCGGTAAATGGCTTTGCAAGCCCTAGGTCTGCCTCCTGCTCAGCCCTGCCACTGAAACACGAAGCAGCCACCCACAGTGTGCCACAGGCCAGCCTGGCTGGGTGCCAACAAAGCTCCAGTCACAAAAGCAGAAGGGGCTGGACCCAGTCCCCGGCAGGAGTTTGCCGACCACGCCGTCACTCACCGTTGTCTCGCCCACAGAAGTCCTTTCCCCGTCCCTGTCCCAATTCCACGGTTTCCTTCCTAGAGCTCGAGGCTATAGTGATGTTCCTCGTGGTCTTACGTCCCCGTTGGTGGCCCAGAGAGAAAGGGATTTCAGAGTAGATCAGCAGCCCTGAAGAGACCTCCCTCAAATGTAAAAGTTAGACCTGCAGCTAACTTTTACATTTGAGGGGTCACAGTGGCCCCTTTCAGGGTCTGAAGGGCTCTGTGCATCCCCTCCCCCCAAACCACACCCAGCGCCCACAAAGCCAGACTCAGCTCAGAAACCTGAAGGATCAAAGTCCAGTGTGTCCAAGGAGCAGTTCAGGAGCCACAGAGCCCCCTGGGGTGCACCTTGTTGTAGCGCTCATGGTCAGTTAGGGGCAGCCCTGGGCCAGGCCGCCTGACCCCGCGTTGAGCCGTCTTTCTGGTAAGCGCCACTTCTGGGGCCAGCAGAGAGCAGTGCCCACTGCCCTGTCTTGGTGGGGCTCCTGTAAATGAAAACATCACATTTGGTCTTTCTATGGGAAAACAAAGAGACACAACAGATTTATTTGGTACAGAAGGGAAAATAAGGCTAGAGCTTCCAAAACAAAAACTGTCTGTGTTTTTGTGGAAAAGCAGTCTGCCTCACACTCGTGCACTCAGCCTAAGGCAGCTGTTCCCACATCTCTGTAAACCCCGGGTTTCCAGTCGCTGGTGGCTATAAAACTCCATAGCTCCGTTAGTGCCCTGCTCTGCTTGGGGACTACAGGGACATAGGCAGAGGTGAAGAGCCCAACCACGTGAGCATACACACGGCAGAATAAGGTCACCAACAAAACACAGGTGCACATTAAGGGTGGGAGAAAATCATGGTTCTAGAAACAGAAGGAGGAGTGCCTTGGAGACAGGCTCCTGGGGCTGGTGGAAGGTCAGGAGCCACGGTCTGAGGTGGACAGGCTGAGGGGGGTGTGTTGAGGTCCTCGGAGGCAGAGGCTGGAGAGGGGTCACCTGTCCATGGCTGGGCCATTGTTCCAAAGTCCTGTCCTTCAAAGGTGTGGTCCACGGCTTGCAGTTTCAGAGACAGGGACAGGGAAGCTTAGGAAGGTGTTCGACCCTCGCTTTGCCTTCTTAGTCACTGTTTTTTGAAAAATACTCCTCAGCTGGGAACGCACAAGGAATCTTCCCCAAGTCACCACTGAAGCTGTGGGGACCTATAGGGGACCCATAGACAGGGTCTTCCCCTTACTGCTGCTTCTTCCCCTGCAGCCCTCCTCCCGGAGCCCTGGGGCATGTTCATTCACCAGCTTAACTTTGCCGTGACAGCCATGAGCTGCTTGTCCCTTGGTGGCCGAGGTGCCACCGCTGCTGGGAAATCATTGCCATGACCCTCCAGTGTCATGGACGCCTGCGAAGGCCATCATCCAGCACCACGGACTTCCTATCCCTGAGGCCCGCAAAGAAGCAAAAATAAATTACAATTAGATCATGGAAATGGTGGAAATTCTTTTCCAAGAGGGCAGCTCTGACTTCAGTGTCCCGCGCCGTGAAGGGCAGTCATTTCTGTCCACACAGCTCTCAGCAGGAGGAATGGCGCAGGCCAGCCGCCCTCCCTGACAGGTGGAGTCCGCCCTCGGGGACAGGCTGCTTTCCCTGTCCTCTGCGGACCTGGCCTTCAGTGCTGCTGTAGCTCATGATGAGCAGAGTTTCTTTGAGCCGAGGAACACTAAGAACAGGCGTGGCGTGCACAAGTGTGGCATGAACGATGTCCTGCGCCTTTGTCCTTTCTCTTGGTGCCTGGGGCAGAGGCTGCATTTACCCAGGACGGAGCACACAGCCCTGTCCTTCTTCCTCCTCGGAACACACAGGTGTAGGAACAATCACTCACCACCCAAGAGTCCAAAGGTAGTGTCTGAGGTCCCGGGTCCCTGACCTCTTGACCCTGTGGCATTGCATGCCCCATTATGAGGCCTGCAGAGAGCAGGCCCCTGGGGTCCTCGGGGTCCTTGGGGTCCTCCGGGCCCTCCAGGTCCTCCACGCCCTCCGCGGCTGCTCTGAGCCTGCTCTACCTTGGCAGGAGGAGGACGACTATGAAAGCCCCAATGACGAGCCAGATGGGGAGGACGATGGGGACTACGAATCTCCCAACGAGGAGGAAGAAGAGGCACCAGTGGAGGACGATGATGCAGAGTACGAGCCACCGCCCTCCAATGACGAGGAAGCTCTGCAGAACTCCATCCTGCCTGCCAAGCCTTTCCCCACTACCAACTCCATGTACATCGGTAAGCCCCCTGCAGCCCCCGCCTGGCTCCCCACTGCTGCCTGGGCAGTCAGCGCCCCAGTTTTCCATGTAGCAGAAACCCCTGAGTGGTGGTACCAGCTCAGCTTCTCAACAACTGTGTAACTTTGGGTGAGCGTCTCCACCTCTCTGGGCCTCGATTTCCTCATCTGTGAAGTAGGATAATAAGACTATGGTCCACATTGGTTTGCCACGAGGATTGTTACCAGTGCAGGCAAATCATTGCCTACGCCGGCTGCCATCTGCATGAACGGCCACATAAGGGCATTTGGCAGTCATAACTTATTCTGAGTGTTACTTGTGTTTCTGGGCTATTTTTCTGTTTCTGCCATCTTTGAACCAAATCATAGTCATGCGGCACTGCTCAGGGCAGACGGTCAGAATCGACAGGAAGGTATTGAGCGGTGTTTGATGGCAACTTTAAGAACCCGTGAACAGTCTTTAGAATTTGTATCGCCTTCCTGCTCTGCCAGTCTCTTCTCCCTCATTCAGCAAAAGTGGTGGCTGTCCTACTGGGGGACAGAAGGTCCAGGTAGCATGCAAGACTGTTCGATTTGGTGACAGGAGTTGGTGGCCAGCTCTGCCTTTTAAGGGATGAGATGAGCAAAAGGATGAGACGGGAGAGAGAGATGGCTCAGAGTTTTGTGAAGGAAAGGAAGGGGACAGAGCGCCGGGTCCTCATGAGCGGTTTTGACCAACTTAGCCCTGACACACAGCTGTGGTGTGTGAGTGTGCACACGAGGGTGAGCATGTATGTGCACATACATGTGCGTATGTGTGTATGTGCCTGCACACGCGTGACTGTGTGTGCAGGCAGAAGCTGTGTGTTGATTTTTTACAGTTCTGTCTGAAAACACTCCTGCCCAACACGGGCTGAACTCGTTCCAGAGAGGCCTTTTGTGCTGGGAACTTCTCTGCTGTTCCTGAGAAGTGACACGAGGTGTTTCCTTGTATAGGCGTGAATCAGGCTAGGACAGGGCCAGCTGGGGTCGAGCACGCCTGCCTGTAGCAGCCAGGCCAGGTGTCCCTAGGGCTGGGGCTCTGGCTGGTGCAGGTGGCACTCTGAAGGTTAAGGAGCGGACACTCCCAAAGCCAGGGTCAGTGCCTTCCTGGAGAGCGGCCATGAGGGTGGCTCACCTTGGCGGCATGCTCTCTCTCATGCGAATATTCTCCTGGTTTTACAGACCGGCCCCCCGCGGGGAAAGCCCCTCAGCAGCCTCCAGTGCCCCCGCAGAGACCCATGGCTGCCCTTCCTCCCCTGCCAGCCACCAGCACGACCGGCCGGAACCACTCGGTAGGTCTCTCCCTTTCTTTTATGTCACTTTGTAGCTGCTCATTATTTCTTCTACCAGACAGAAAAAAAATGAAACATCTTTATTTAATCCTAATTTTGCAAGAAGAGATTTGTTTAGGCTGGGAAAAGGCTTACCCACATGCTCTGTGCTTCCTTGGGGAGTGAAATACTAGAGATTTTTATTGACACTGTCATGCTTATTGGCATTTTCTTTGTACCATAAACAGTATAAACTACTTATCTAATAAAAAGGCCCCCATCCAATATGCACTGTGTTATTGTTTCCCACTATTTGAAATAGGTGGACCCTGTAAAGTGAACAGTAAGGGAACCCCATTAAGGCAAGGGCATTTACTGGGGTCCAGGGTCCCAGCTGGCCTCCCTGGCTCTTGCAAAAAGATGTGCGCCACCTGCTGGCCAGAGCCTGAAGTTCTCAGGGCAGATGCTTTCAAACCAGGAGACCTACAGTACAATGAGCTGCGGGGGAAGCGGTGGGGGCACACTCCTCCCTTGTCTTCAAGAGTGCACTCTAGCTTTAGGGATCTGGTAAACCCCAAAATGGCCCTGAGAAGCTCAGACCAAGGTGTCAGTAGCTAAGAATATGCTTTCCTCACAAGTGACCTGAGCACTTTGACACCTGTGGCACATGCCAAAGTGCTAGGGAGACCCCAAGTTTTTTTCCCAAGGCTCAAAATTCAGGCCGCACCATAGTGGGGACCTTCCATCTGAGAACAGATGCATCCTCCTGCCCATGGGGTTCCACTTCAAAGGAGGCTGAATTGATTGACAAGTGCATTTTGCTTTTGAAATACGAAGCCCTGCAACTCTGCAGTGGGATGCAGAATTCCCTCAGTCATTCAGACACAGGATGGGCAGCTGCTGTGGGCCAGCAGTGTTCTGGGTGCTGGGGACAAAGTATGAACAAGACCAAGTCCTGGCTTTCACCAAGTTCTCATTTGGGTCAGGGAGACAGAGAATACACAGCTAAGCAGATGTAGCAATGATGTGAGTGGTCACGTGTGGCTAGGGAGACAGAGGGTGGTGGTAGAGAGATGACATCCAGCTGGGACAGAACGAGCCAGCTGTGGGAAGAGCCGGAAAAAGAACATTCTAGGCAGAGGAGACCCAAGCACAGAGCTGCCCAAGAGGGCACAAACTTGAGAGTTTCCAAGAGCTGCAAGAAGACCCTTAGGGTGGGGCCCCGCTGGAGAGAACCAGAACTGGGCCAGGCAGATGGGCCAGCGCCAGCTCAGGCAGGGCCAGTGGGTCATGGTGCAGAGGCTGTAGATCTGGGCAGGGGCACGCCAGGTCTGGCCCCTACACGGGAAACACTTCCTAACTTTTGTATCTTTTTTATGCAGCCACTTCCCCCACCCCAGCCCAACCAGGAAGAGCCAAGCAGAAGCCGAAACCACAAAACTGCAAAGCGTGAGCACCCCAGCTGCCCTCTCCTGCCCACCAGCCTGCCCACCCCGGCCAGCGCCTCCTTCTCTCCCTGACCTCACCTTTCTCCTTCCAGTGCCCCCACCTTCCATCGACAGAAGCACCAAACCACCCCTGGATCGCTCACTAGCTCCCTTTGACAGAGAGCCCATCATACCAGGTTGGTAGGATGCATCTGATGCACCAGAACAGCAGCCCCCATTTATAGAGTGCTTGCTGTGTGCCTTTCATGTGTACCATCTCATTTAACCATGAGGCGGAGGCTGGGAAATTACCCTCATTTTTCAAAGGAAGAAACTGAGGTATAATGATTGCTCAGCTACCAGGGGATGGGGTAGAACCAGGTGCCAGGTCAGCCCGACTGGGGAGCTCCCACTCTCAGCACCCACTGTGCCTGCTTCTCTGTGGGTGTGCGCTGTGGCACACATCTCGCTGTCCTCAGCCAAGATGCAGCAGGAGGCACCGTAGGGCAGCACGGGAGATGGGCTAAGAGACAGGAGGTCTGGGAGGGCTGTGGTCTCTCAACAGCTTGCTGGCCGGCAGGGTATTACTTTCTCAGGGCAAAGATCCTTATTTGTTTGGTGAGTGTTCTGTAAAGAGGAAGTGCTCATAAAGCTCCAGGATGCCTGGATGTGTGCAACTCACACTGACACACTACTGTCTATTCCCCCAAAGATTTACACAAAATATTCCAAGATCCCAGCTACCTCCACATGCAGCTATCCACAGCTCAATTCTAAAATTTAGCCACCATTTATCCACTACCTACTATGGGACAAGTGCCTTACCTACCCCAAATAATTATCCTACACCTTCTCTAATCCTATGCCCACCCAACAAAGCAGGTGCATTATTATTTCCACTTCTTAGATGATGAAACTGATGGTCAGAGAGGTTGAGTGATGGCCTCAGATTGCATAAGGAGGTAGGAGATTTGCACCTTGTCCTTCTGACTTCAAAGTGGGGATCTTTCCCACCACTTCCTACTGCGGTTGAGGACCTAGGGTCTTAACTTGCTGTAAATGAGTGGATCTGGGGAAGGAATCCTGAAACAAGACAGATAAGAACTCCAGAATCCCTGCCCCTCCAGCTCCTCCTTGGTGATGCTCTGAACAGGGCCTGCAGCCGTCACAGTCTCAGTCTCCTCCTCTGTTGGGCAAAAGGACTTTCTGTTCCTGGGTTTGAAGCTGCTGCTTCCCTGAATTGTATCTCAGCTGTGCTGAGGCCCTCAAGGCTGCAATGTCTATTGGGGTTTAGAGTTGACCACTGGGCAGAGCTGCACAGATAACAAAATAGAAGACAGACTTGACTTTGAGTCCAACCCTGCTCATTTCCTTGAGCAGGGCATCAAAAGGGTGGGATTCTGACATCAGACCTTCACAACCACCTCCCCACACCCATGACCCTTGTAAAGGATTCTTTTTTTTTTTAACAGTTTGACCCTGGAGTTACTCCATTGTCTGTGATGTTTTGGAAGAACAAACCTTTTAAACTTCCAACATGACAGTCCCAACATGCCCAGAGAATATGCATAAATCTGAAGGTTTTTTTTTCATGGAGAGGTACTGGGGATTGAATTCAGGGGCACTCAACCAATGAGCCACATCCCCAGCCCTATTTTGTGTTTTATTTAGAGACAGGGTCTCATTGAGTTGCTTAGCACCTCGCTGTTGCTGAGGCTGGCTTTGAATTCAAGATCCTCCTGCCTTAGCCTCCCAAGGAACTGGGATTACAGTCATGCACCACCGTGCCTGGTAAATCTGAAGATTTTTGACAAAGATTAATCTATTCAGGCTGAAGGATAAAAATTCATTTCCTGGGAATTGCTTTATACTAGGAGTTCTACTCCAAACTAAGTATGGTAAATAATAAACATCTTTTATACCATGAAAACTCTCTTGCATTAGCCAGGGAGCTCTCCATTGTGAGATAGCAGACTTAGCACCCATCATGGGTCTGGCCTGTCCTCAGTGCTTACAGAATGAATCATGTTATGGAGCTGCAATCCCAGGAGATGGGGCCACCGGTCACCCTGAGTGCTGTGTCTGGGTAGGGAAGGGAGGGAAAGAAAGAGCAGTCAGCTAGCATTTGTCAGCAACTACCCATCGTGTCCCTGATCTTACATATAGGTGTCATATGACACAGCAAACATGTGCAGACTTTACCTGTCATCCCTGTTTTACAGCTGGAGGCACAGAGGCTCAACATGTTCAGTTAAACTTGTGCATTATTCAAGGTCCGAAGGATTCAGTGCCAGACCTAGTGGACGTTAGCGAGTAATACTTGTATCACGTAGACAACAAAGGGCCTGCCTCCTCTAGGGGACTCCAGATGGAATAAAACTTAAATTTCTTTGAGTAGCTTGGCAAGGCAGAGTTCTCGGGTTTACCTGGCACACCTTCAGGAATGTCATTTCTTCTCAGAGAAAAGTAAAAAAGCAAACAAACAAAATAACAACAGCCCCCCCCCCAAGAGAATCTCCTGAAAACCTCTCTTCCAAGTGAAAAAACTAAGTGGTCACTTTATGTGATGTCAAGGGTACCCCAGGGCTGGAGGAGCATTAGCCCCTCCGTGGCCCGGGTTTATTTCAGATACGGGAATGAAACTGAGACTGTACGAAGAACATTTCTGCCCATGACAGAGGCACAGAAACCCCTTTTGGTCATGGGTTATGTTGAGTAAAGCGTTGAAAAGAGGCACAGACCCACAGTCCCTATGTACACAGAGCTCTGTGTCCCTGGCAAGAGCCACTTACTCTCTCTGAGCCTATAAGGATAGGGGCTCTGCAAGAGACCTGTCCAAATCCAGAGTCTGGGCTTCTTCAATGCTTAACCCAGCCTGCCCGAGGGACTGGCACTCAACCAACCCCGCGTGTCACGCCCTCGTCCTGAGCCCTGCTTCTCTGTCCACAGGGAAGAAGCCTGCGTTTTCTGACAAGGTAAGCTGCCTCTCTGGTTTGATGGTTTCCCTTTGGCTTTGACTTTATTTGAGAAGTGCCTGGCACTCACCCATCTCCCTCCTGTCTTGCAGCCCTCTGCCCCGGCGGGAAGGTGAGAACTGTTGGCATGGACGCGGGAGGTCGCGGGACTGGCTGCAGGGCCCTGCCCAGCCGTGACCTGCGTCTCACGTGCCTTTCTCTGAACTCGCCAGGACTCTCGGGGACCATTTACCCAAGATCCCAAAGCCTCCTTTACCACCAGCCACAGAGAGACATGAAAGAAGCGGTCCCTTGCCTGGGAAGAAGCCACCTGTGCCAAAGTAAGCGTCCCTTGTTGCCTGAGCTCGCCCTGCAGAGTGGACGGCACGGGCAGCCTGCCGTGGCCATCTCCCCGGGGCATGGAGCATCTCGGGCATTCCCGGGTGGGAGTGGGCGCCTTGGGCTGTGGGGAATCCAGCTCAGGAACGAGTGGAGGGATGCTTGCTCGGGAGCACAAGGGAACTGTGTTGGGGGGAACGTGGGTGAGCAGAGCTGCCCTGCCTGTTTGTTTCTCAGCGCAGGTAGTAAAGAGAGCAGAGGGAGGTTTGCAGGTCAACATAAATGTCATGCTTATTGTCCGTCCACTTCTTACCAGTCTGCTCTAGTATTTCTAACTGTGCTGTGGAGTCATTTTTAACAAATGGCACAAACGTAGCTGGGGTCCAGGCCAGCCCTGCTGCTTAGGAAAGACCCAGTTGCTGAGGCTTCTATTTAGCTCATCTGTGCAGTTGGGATTCAAAACAATTGGCTGCTGTGAGGATTCAAAAGGACCAGGGCTGGGATGTACCCAAAAGGAAAAAAAAAAAAAAAAAAAAAAAAAACCAAAACAGGGCTGGGGGTGTGGCTCAGTGGTAGAGTGCTTGCCTAGCATGTGTGAGGCACTGGGTTCGATTCTCAGCACTGCATAAAAATAAATAAAATAAAGGAAAAAATAGACAAACCAAAAAACAGAAACACACACACACACACACACATACATACACCCATGCACGCACACACAAAAAAACCAACCCTGAATTTAACAACACTGCAATGCATTATTGTTAAAAATCAAAATTGATGCAAAAAAATCATAATGACCGAAATATCAAAATGGTCACTAAACACAGAATGAGCTCCCATGAGCTCAGCACACATGACACCCCAGACCCAGGAGGTATTTGGCAAAGTGTCCTCCTCCACCCTCCCTCTCTAAGAGCAGGGGCGCCCAGGCACATAGTCACCACGTGTGTGTGACTGGCTTGCTCATCCTGGCCAACATACCAGGCCCCATTTGGAAAATTCCCCAAATGGCCACATTTTCCAACTGTCTTCCCATTACTTGAAAGGGTGGCTGGCTTAAAACATCAGCAAAGAAGAATATAACCTAAAATGTTTCCATTTGCTTGGAGAAACATCTACTCAGTGAAATTTAGTAGCTACTAAAGAGTAGACTGCTGACTAAACTTTTATATACATAGACATAATTATTTGCTGCAGTAACTGCACCGAACAAGGCTTTGCCTGGCTTGCAAAGACAGCAGAGCATGGAGGAGCCCACCCTCTCCCCTCTCCTCCCTGCCTCTCTGATGGGATTTGCAGCTGCCCGTTCCACCACAGCTCAGTGGGTTTGATGTCTCCTCCTGCGATTTAGGAAATTGCATTCTGAAGCAGACCCTTGGAAAGTCTGGTCGCTCACTTCTTTTCTTTACCCTCGTTCATTTCAGGCATGGATGGGGACCAGACAGAAGAGAGAATGTGAGTACAAATGTCATTTTGTAAGTGCTTGGCACAGGGACAAGCAATGCAGGCTCTGGGGAGCTGGGGGCTTTAACCGCCCTTGGTCTTCCCTGAACTAGAGCAAGACCTGAGCATAATTCCTCTGTCTTTGGGGACTGGGGCTTTTCTGCAGCCCATCCGTCTGTGATGCCCAGTTCCCATCCTCTGAGCCCCACTCTCTCCCACCCCAGCTGGGCTCCTCACAGACCTGTAGCCAGTGGGTGATTAGTGGGGTGAAGGGGCAGGGATTGAGGAATGCCCAAGAATCTGAGCATCACACAAAAATTCCCAATGCCTCTACTTTCCCTTAACCACCTCCATGACCTGGGGAACAGGGGAAGCAATGTTACTGAATGCTCCAGGGTGACCAGCTGTTTGCTGGGACTTTCCAAGAATTAGAACTGAAAGTCCCATGTCCCAGAAACTTCCTCAGTCCCAGGCAAACCAGGATGATCAATAATTACCAGCTATGTTTAGGCTTTATATTTAATGATTCCATGAGGAATTATCCTTTCTCTTTGCATGAGAAGAATTTCAGGCTTAGAAAGGGTAATACACTGGTTTCAAGTTGCACAGCTAGTAAATAGTCAGGTTCTGAATCCAGGCCTGTCTAAGCCTCTGAGGGCCATCAGATGCTTGCCCCTGATCCAATGCCCAGCCAATAAGTCTACTGTTCCCATGGCTCTCTGCTCCATGCTTTGTTTGGTCAAATGAAGTGCAGAGGTGTTATGGCGACAGGCACCTCCATGGCACATGTGCTAGGGAGCATGCCTCCATGGAGTGACCTATAGAGGGACGAGAGGTCCATGAAGGTCAAGGAGCCAATGAGGACTTCTTAAGGGAGGAGAGATTTGTGGCGGTGATTGGATGACAGGGAAGACACAGGTCAAGGAGCCAGAGGGGACGCCATAGCCACACTGTTGAAGAGCTATGGTGTCCTGGGGTGTGCGGAGCCTGTGTGTGTTTATTTGTGCAGCCCTTTGCCAGGACTCCAGGTGGCCCCCTGGGACAAGCAATTCTAAATGTGGTCCTTGCCACATCTCAGCGTGTCGCAGACCAACGATGGCAAACCCACTAAAGGTCATAGAGCCTAGAGCAGGGTATTGAATCCTCAGGACACTCCCAAGAAGGTGTCATGGCAAAGTCACTTTGTCTCTTGGAACCTCATTTGTTATCTGAGGGGAAAAGAAAATAGCTCTTCTCTTGTCCAGTTCACAAGGTGACCTTGAAGATAAAGATAACCAGGGTTATAGATGCAACTCATAAGCCACACTGGGAAAAAGAAACGTCTTACTATTTTTAAAAAGAGTGGGCATCATAAAGCAGAGATAAAAAGAAGGCTGAGCCGGGCATGGTGGCACAAGCCTATAATCCCAGCTATTAGGGAGGCTGAGGCAGGAGGATTGCAAGTTTGAGGCCAGCCTCAGTAATTTAGTGAGACCTGTATCTCTGAGCCTTGTGTCAGATAGATTTGGAATTAGATCTATTTCTGCAGTCCATGGTAGATGAGGAATTCTTCTAAGCATCATGTTCCCATTTGTAAAATGAGGATGTTAAGTTCTCAGTAGGTCACCGGGGAATTGAATGAAATACTGTATATGCATCTTGGGGGCACATCACAGATATTATAAACATTATTATTATCTTTGAGCCCTATTAGGAACCTCAGAGCTAATTCAAGCACAGTATATGAGGAAATTTCAAATTGGAGTGTCCTTAGGTGATTGTTTTTATTAGAAAATCATAAACCACTTATCAAATTCTACTATTATCCACAATATATTTATTATGGGAAGCTATAGCTAAGGAAAGAACCAGACACATTTATAGGATTGAGAAATACAGTGTTATCATTTTAGGAATTGTGTTCTGATGATAAGTTAATATCTTTATTTTTTTTTTCTTTCCCTTTGCCAGGATGAAGATGATGGTAGGTTCAGAAAAGATTCCTTACCACTTCTATCTCATTCTCTCATTTTTCTGCTGAGGTGTTCCAATGGGATCACGTAGTCTGGGAGCCCTGCAAAACCAATTATAACTGTTAAATTAATATGAAGTAGACATGCGTCAACTGGTATGCTACATAGCTATAGTAAAAGGAATTACTTGGTTGAGTTCCCAAGGAGACTTAAGCTCATGTGTATCAGTGCAGATTAACTAATTGTATAGTAAAATTAAAATTACATATGTAGCTTGATAGAAAAATTTGCAATATTTACGTCCTCTAACAGGGGTGGGTAAAGGATCATAACTTGCAGGTAAATCGCATGTAATTTTGGCTTTTGCAAAGCAAAACAAAACTCGTGAATCATTTCCGAAATTTATAAGGTTTCTAATTGACCATTTTTGGCCAAGTTAGCCTTTAAAAATGGGTGGGGGGGGAGAGGGGAGTGTATTATAGAGAATTATATAGAATAGCAGTACTTTTATAATGCATCCTTGGGTGGTAAATCATCTAGAAAAGATTTGAGGCTGGGGGTTCCCTCCTACCACTTTCCAATACATCTGAGCATTGGGATTTTATATCAGCTGTTTTCAACTGGGGAGCAGCTCTAGAAGGTTCCAAGAAACCAGAGATTAATTTCCTCCTTCTCCCACAGTGCATCAAAGACCCTTGCCCCAGCCTGCACTGCTCTCCATGAGCTCCAACACCTTCCCCTCAAGATCCACCAAGCCAGCCCTCAAGCACCCGCTCCTGTCCTCTCACGGGCCTGGGACATTCTCAGAAAGGTCTGTGGCTGTGGTCGTCAAATTCTCACTTAATGTCGCATCTAGGGCCACCTGATGCTGAGGTAATGCAGGTGGCTGGAGGGGGGAAAAGCCGGGGTAGCGGCATCTGAGCAACCCCTGGGTCTAAGGAAATAAAGCCTAGCTGAGCTTCCAGGACAGATGTTGATCCTGCCCCTGCGAGTTCTGCACTTGGGGGAGAGGAGTGCAGCACTGACTTCTCCCGGATTGTTCCATATGGAAGGAACTTTTTGGCAGAAAAATGGGGAATGTTTTGACTTTACAAGTTAAAAAAATATATACAAACAAGCAGACGTTCAGAAACCCATTTAACTGCAGTCCTGGAGTTCCTCCTGCTTCTTGGAGGGAGACTGACGAGACGTGCCTTGCTCCTGGCACAGCCTCCCCCCACAGGCCTGTGTCCAGCGAGGCATGTCCAGTCCTGCCCAGGATCTGGCGAGATGCTCGACATCTTTCGCTTTCCCTGGGAGCCTCTCGTCCTCCTTTCCTGCAGTTTCCTCTCCGTCTTCTGGCTGGTTTTCTCTCGTTGCCACATCCGCCATTTTCTCCTGCTGCTCACTACCCAGGGCCCCAACCCCGACCTTCGCTCCTGAGGAATGCCCCCCAGGACAGGCGGTGGGCAGCAGACTTCTGAGGGCTTGGCTGTGGGTGGCGTGCCACTGCTCAGCACGGAGGAGCAGACCCTCCCTCCTCCCTCCAGTCCTGGAAAACGCTGTCACTCCCTGATGTGGCCCTACCTAGCGCTCACATGGGCAAAGACCCGTCCTCTCCCTGTAGACCCGCAGGCCCCGGGACTCCCAGAGGTCCCTCCGAGGTCCACCTTGGGACACTACCAAATTGTGTCAGCTAAGTTCCTTTCCTGTGCTCAGATCCCATGATTTCAAGGAGGACAGGTGACAAGTCATAAGACAGCAGGACTCGAGGACAGCCTGGTTTCCTTCTCCCTGCTCCCAGTCTGGCCCCGTCACCCAACTCACTTAAAATCCTTTCTTTTTCTGTCTCCACAGTAACAGCAGTTTCCCACAGAGCGCCTCTCTGCCGCCGTACTTCTCTCAAGGTTGGTACCCGAGCCTTCGTGACCCCCGCCAGCCACCACGTCTGTGGGACTGGATCCCCGCCTCGCTCACAGGCCTTCAGCAAAGGTCTTGCGGTTTCCCCAAAGCACCTGAGGTCCTCAGCCAGGGTTTAGTTCAGTGGCTGCGGGGCATTGAAGACTGCTGGAGTGACAGGAGACTACACAGCCTACCACACACGCACACGCACCTACATACCACACACACACGCACACACACACACACACACACACCACAACACACACACGCACACACACACACACAACACACACACACACACACACACTCTTCACCAGGAAATCGGCCCCACTCCCTCATGTTCCCACAAAGATGCCCCTTTCCTTCCTGCTGTTTCCATACAGAGCTCAGAAGAGTCGCTGGCTTTCTCTGCAGTGTTAGGTTCCCATGGTGAATCTGCCCTTGGGGTGTGGGTTTCAGAGTCTGCGGGAGGCCCAGGGATAGATATTTCAAATGATACTGCTTCTAGGTGTGTGTTCATAGTGTTCTCGAACTTCAATGTGCATACAAATCACCTCGGAGCAACCCAGGGACCCCAGTCTGGGGTCCTGCTCTCAGCAAATGCAAAATGGCCTCCTGCTCCTAAGGATCATGTACCCAGTGCTGAGTGGGAGGAGAGACCACAGGGTGCCAGCCAGGGCCTCTATGTAGTCAAGTGATGTGATTCTCCTCCTGTCCTCCAGCCACCCAGATCCCTTCCTTGCCCTGCCAGGCCTGGAGGGCACCAACCCGACCTTCTTCAGCTTTTAGCTTTTTATTATCATCTTTGTATCATATTCTGATATGGTCGCAGAGCAATATTTCCAGTTGACCAAATATCCTAATCTTTTTTCATTTATATGCAAAAGAAATAGTTTTAAGTAACTGTACCCCTGTGTCATCTTGCTATTACTTCGTATGTTGTACTTTCTTTTTTCTTCTTTTATTTTTAAATATTTTTTTAGTTGTAGATGGACTCAATGTCTTTATTTAATTAATTTATTTTTATATGGTGCTGAGGATCAAACCCAGGGCTTCACACGTGTGAGGCCAGCGCTCTACCACTGAGCCATGACCCCGATGTGTGCCCTGCTCGGCCTCCAGTGGCCTTACTCCAGCCTCCCTGACATCTGCTTAGAAAAACAGTTCTAGAACTTTCTGGGGTTTTAATCCTTCAAATTTTGGACTAAAGTTGTATGTTCCTGCCTGCTCTGATGCTGGGTCCCCAGGCAGTGGGAATGTCTAGGTCTTGACCGCCCATCTCACCACCCCAACAGCAGGGTCGGTCTCCTCGAGTCCCCAGATCCATAGCAGAGTGTGACAAGGTTGTAAATATTTATAAGTTTTCATACCTTGGGAGACACAGAGGTGGTGCATTGCGGTTCTTCATGGTGTCGTGTATGTTTTGATAACAGCGATTACAGGCTCAGTATTTTATCTGGAGCTCAGAGGCCAGGAGCACATTACAACAGTTTTATAACAGCCTGGCCTCCCTGTAGACCACTTCTTTCCTCTTACACTATAGAAGGCAGCTGGCCGGTCTAGGCTGGATGTGAATAAATTTCTTCTGTGCCCTGAAAAAACAAAAATCACCTGGGAATTCAGTAGGATTGGGTTAAGACCTGAGATGCTGTGTTTCTAACAAGTTCCCACGAAATTCGGATATTACTGGATATTATTTGCTGCTACTCTGAAGTAGCAGCAAAAGCCAAAGTAGGACTAAATTGTATTTATTTTTATTCCTAAACAAGTGACTAGCACAAGGAACTCTTAAAATGCTTATTGAACGATAGAATCTCCAAAGACCACAAAGTTACAACTCTACGAAGTGGACTTTACCATATGCCAGGAAACTGACTTAGTGTTAGTGAATTCCATAATTTATTTTTTTAATATGGCCTTTAATGTGAAAGTGCCCAATTTTTAAATGTTGACTTATATTTAAAAAAAACAAAACACTGTGAAGTACAAACAGAAGACTTTTCATCTTTTTTCTTGTTTTCCTTTTTGGTGGTCATGGTCCATGCGCAGCAACACCAGTGTGGTTTTTAAATAGGAGATTCCATTAGTAAGTTTGAATTGTAGCCCCAAAGCAAACGTTCTTCTGGAGCACACCAACTGTATGCAGTTGTACACATCATTCCACATGCGAGATACCACTGCTGACGCCAGTGGCACCTACTAACTTTTCCACGTTTTCTAAGCATTTGAGATCAGTGTCCTTATTCTATATGGCTTCCCATTCCCTGCCCTAACTTTTCACAATCCCCCAAACTCACTGTTTTCAAACCTACATTTGTGTTACCTACCTGTCCCCTATAAGCATCTGGATTCTGGACACTTCACTGATAGCAATAATAGTAAGTACTTACTTAAGTTCATGCCACAGATTTCTTGTTTTGTGAGTTGGTGACATGGGTATTATTAATGCAAACAGTTAATTGGGGAAGATATTACCCAAATCAAAATTGATCCCTTTTCTCCCAAGACTGCCAGAATACCTGCTCCTCCATCTGTGGCTACTGCAACCCCAAGAAGGGAGAAGTCATGTCATGCATTGTCCAAAAGCCAATTGGAATTCCCTTGAGAAGCCAGATATTAAGGGTGATGAGTGACTGTAATAAAGAGCATATGTGCTCGTGTGCTGTGAATTGTGGCTTTCTGGTGCTGGCCAGTGGGTGCAGAAGCAGAGAGTAATTCCTCAACACTGAAATAGCCATGCGGAATACGCTTGGTTCTATTTCTCTCCTATACTGTTCGATCTCATCCACTCAGCAAGCATTATAAAAATATATAAGTGCTGGACCACAAAATGTGGGCCTGTTTAGGTGTTGGAATCCTGGAGAAGGAAGGCACTGGCAGCTCAGGGTCAGTCTTCTAATCATTTAGAAACAAGGAAGGACACTTTAAATAATCCTGATGACATAGCCCAGGACCCCTCAGCCCCTTCCCAGGTGACTCCCTTCCTGCTGAGTAGCAGAGCAGACATTGATTCCTATGATTCAAAGGCCCCCCGGGGGTTCTCACTGGTGCACAGTGACATTTGAGAACCACAGGTTGAAGTCATGGCCCTGACACTGTCACATGATTTGCTTCAACTCTTTGAGCTCATTTCCTCCTGTGCAAAACGAGCATAATACCTACATTTACTGCTGCTGGGTGGGTTAAGAGTGCTCATTCAAGCTCTGGACAGAGGAGAGCTGGAAAGCATGGGTTGAATGAGCAACTGAGTGATGGGTGAATAGTTAAGAGAACACTCAGTAGTCCAATTCTTCTGTTTTTCATAGTTGTTCTGACACAGAGAGAACAGCCTTGCAACTCTAGTCCACACACACAATCAAATCTTTCCTGAGATGAGGAGACACATTCTCAGAAACTTTCAGGGAACCCTAAGCTAGAAAAAGGTCTTAGAGGAAGTGAGACACAAGCACTGGGTACCTTGTAGGTTCCAGTGTCGACTTTCAGATCAACCAGGTGATCCTTCAGCTAAACCAGCAGTGAGCAAATGTTGGTTCCGAGAGCTGAGAAATAATACTCTCAAGGTGATTTCACCGCATCTTGGGTAACAGATTTCTCTTTGTGAAGACAAGGAAAACATAATCACCATGCATTGGTGGATGAGAATCCATTGCATGTACTGATATCACCAGGACCTCTGAAAAGTCTGTCTCTCGAATGTTCTTTTTTTAAAAAAAAAAAAATTATTTATTTGTTCTAATCAGTTAAACATACAGCTTGAATGTTCTTACTGATGTTCACATTAAAACAATGATGACATTTTTATAAATGAATCTAGGCCCTCTATATGATACAGCAAGAACATTGAGGAAATCTCTAAATTTTGAGGTTCTGCTCTAAAGTCTCACAGATATGGTTACAGAATAACGTGGCCCTTGTGTTTTTGAGCAGGTAGGAATTATTTTTAAAGCTTCATTTTCTTGAGATGCCAATTATCAGAACAGCGACAGGGCATTTGGTTAAGTGTTAGGAGAAGTAAACAGTAGCTCACGCTACATTTTTAATTGTCAAAATGTTGTACTTCCTTTAAGGCCCCAGCAACCGCCCACCTCTCAGAGCTGAAGGCAGAACCTTGCCCTTGCCAGTGCCGAGCAGACCTCAGCCCCCGTCCGCTGGGGAGGAAGAGGTAATAAAGCACATGTTTTGACCATTTTCTTTCCCTAGCAAATGGACCATAAGAAACCCTGTTGAATACTCTTCCAGGCTTCTGTCTTCTATTTTTGTTTTTAATTAAAGGGGAGGGTGCTGGGAACATAGCTCAGTAGTAGTTGAGCGCCTGCCCATTATGCCTGACTTCCTGGGTTCCATTAAAGGGGAGGATCCACATGAAAAATAACATGTGTCTTTTCCTTGGTTCTTTCAGACCCTTGCAGTGGCAAATGTATGTTTTGCTTTAAACAGTAAGAAAAATAATCCCATTTTCTGTTTCTCAGCTTATGAACTTGAAAAAGTTGCACAAATGCTCCATGAACACAGTTTTTTTTTTCATTAAGCATGTTACCCCTGCCAAATTTATTCCATTTTTTAAAAAATTTTACATTTGCAGAATTCACTGGATGAAGAATGGTACATTTCCTACATTACCCGGCCGGAGGCAGAAGCTGCCCTTAGAAAGATAAACCAGGTATTGTGCTACAGTTATTTGAAAGTAGTTATAAATATTAATGGAAGGAGAAGAAGGGAACTGACCTGGACTGAGTCCCAATTATTGGCTGAGAGATCTGTGAGGTGCTGTTCCGTGGCGACCCATTGGTCCAGCTTCTCACCTGTCAGGGTCCATAGCAGTGACTCCTGGCACCAGACTCATTTGGCTGACAGAAACGTCTAAACCAAGGCAATCATCTGATTGGCAGGATCTTAGGAGATTTTTATTAACGAGAGTCTGTCTTGTCGTGTAGCATCAAAAGGAGACGCTCCCAAGTTTCCCACATCTTGCCAGTTCCATCTGCCTCTGAATGCAGTCTCCCTTCATATCTAGGCAGTAAACCTCCCTGTTCAGAGAGGCAGCAGCCATTTTTTGTCCTTCCTCCTGAAAATTTTAGCTACTTCTTTGATATTGTCAAGTCCTAAGCAGATGCCCTGTGGCCCAGTGCTGACCTTTAACCTTAAATCCCTTTATCAGAGGTGGGAAAGCAAAGATTCTTCACCGTTCACATCTAAAGTCCACAGCAGTAGCTCCCAACCTTGGCTGCACTTTAAAACCTTCTGGGGAGTTTTCTGAACATCCTGACTCCTGGGTTTCACCTGAAGAGATTTTGTTTTAATTAGACTAAGTACTTTGTGGGATGAGGGAGTCTTTGAAGCTCCCTGAAGATTCTGATTCCAAGCCAAGGCTGTGAATCAGGATCCAGAGGTGTGTTTGTCTGACAGGGATGTTCTGACTCAATTAACTTGGGATAAAAAGAACAAAGGAAGACTCTTATTGTAGATTGATGATTATTTAAAAGCCATCCTGATTTAGTACGTGGAAGAGGAAGTGGTTTAAATGAGTCTTCCTAAGGAGCTCAATTAATATTAGTTCTTTATTGTGATGTTGTGGTGATTTATTGAGTGAAAGTTTAAAGGAAAGCATGAATCACAAAAAAATTTTTTTTTTAAAAGTTCAGCAACTATTTTAAAAAGGTAGGAAGAATACACGTGGTCCACATTCAATTGTGTTCAGGTGTTTGATGGAAGAAACGCTGAATCTAGAGATCAAGAGGTTTAGAAAGGGGTGAGTTTCATTGGCTTATGGGGGTTTTCTGACTGGATCAGGAAAGGAAAGCTTAGGGAATTAATTCACAGGAGTAGAAAGCTATATCTTGAGCTGGCCATTAAAGTCCTCTTTCTTGGCCCTTTATCCTCTCAACCACCCATTGTGTGTTTTATTACTGAAAAAAAGATTCCTTTTCTAGGAAGAGGCTTTGGAGAGGTTGGCTTGGAAATGTCTCTGATGACATTTCTGTAGCCTCTCTTGATAACCAAGAAACGCAGGGCACATGGATTTGTGGCTGCTGGGGGAGCCGCTGAAGGCCAGTGGACTCCACCGACAGAAGTTTCTAGTCCTGGGATCGGGTCAGCTGCTCTCACAGGCAACAGAGTCCTGACTTTTACTGTTCCCTATTAACAAGAATTTCCCCTTGTAGGATGGCACTTTTCTGGTTAGAGACAGCTCTAAAAAAACAATAAGCAACCCGTATGTCCTCATGGTATTGTACAAAGATAAAGTCTACAACATCCAGATCCGTTATCAGGAGGAAAGCCAGGTCTACATGCTGGGAACTGGACTCCGGGGGAAGGAGGTAAGGACTTGGAGCTTCAGAATTTCTCCCCATGCTCTTTCTACACTTGCCTGCCTCCCCACGGGGAGATTCGCTTAATATTCTCTGGGAGCCCATGCTGGGCAGCAACTTAGAGCTAATTGCCATTAGCAAAGCCCTTCATTATTTGGAGGGGAATAGAGCAAAATATTAACAGTGACTGATTCAGCCATAGGAGTCCTTCTTGTATCTTTTACTCTAAATAATCCAACCTCACATTATAACTTTCAAAATTAAAAAAAAAAAAGTTAGCATTTAAAAAAAATCTGTTAGATGGAATCAAAGTCCAGTCTCTTCTGTTATTGACCTCTGCCATATAATTTTTAGTGTAAGATTACAGTGTACCTAGAAGGCTGTATTTTAAATTAATAACCTCTGGGAAAGGGGAAGAACCAGCACACTTGCTGTGGTGGTTATTTGGACACTAGGGTCATTTCTTACTGGGCAAGAGGTACAGTTCTGTGACAATGGCCAGATCACTAAATTGTTGGGCTAAGGCTTAGATTCTCGTGCCAGACAATTTTTTGGGTGGTTGTCAGAATTGATATGAAAGAGGTCCTCTGGGCTGCCTTGTGTAAAGACAGCTGTCAACTAAATGCACCATCCCAAATCGTGCTTTTCTTCGAGTTCAAAGTTGCAGGAGGAAGACCAGTGGAAGTGAACATCTCCAGAATGAGAAAAAACTCATTCATGACGCACACTTTTAAGCGATGACAATGTGGAAGAGTGGGACAAAACACGTGCTTTTGTTTAAATGTTGGAACCACTGGAGGCTCCGCCCTCCCAGATTTCCTTGGCCTAGGATGGAAACACACAGGCACAGACTGCTGACTGCGGCTGCCCCGGAGGGAGGCACCCAGGCCCCGCGTCCTGGAGGAGTGCACATTCCTCTGTGGGACACCACGTGACTTCTGACCACATTCATAAGGATGAATGGGGCCTTTCTTGGCCATAAGGGATAGTATAATACAGGCTGTGGGTGAGAACAGTTGGCTGCCCAGTTTCTGTGATTGAGGAGGTGGCAATGGGCATGCAGCAGAGGCTGTGAAGGAACTTCTCTATACCATGCTGTAGCTGTCACCTCCAGACACTGTGAATGGTGTCTGACCTCCTGATTCCCCTTCCCTCCTAACCCCGTTAATTACTGGGGTGAATAGGAGGTACTGAAACCAAGACCCAAAACAGAAACCCAAGCAACCAATATTTAGGATTATGACTCCCTATATAAAATTTTAAGAACTTGTTTTTCATTCATTATTTGTTGGGTATTGATGAGGAATGTTTTCAAATTTCTATAGCAGAAATTACTAAAACATCTGCCACAATTTATGTGCCCCCCCATTCTAGTTACTTACAGGGTCTACATTATGAAGATTAAAAAAAAACACAGTGAAATTCACACTATCCACTCAATGATGACTTATCTTCCTCTTTTACAGGATTTTTTGTCAGTGTCAGATATTATTGACTACTTCAGAAAAATGCCACTTCTGCTCATTGATGGGAAAAATCGAGGCTCTAGATACCAATGCACATTAACGCACGCTGCAGGGTGTCTGTAGCAAGTGAGTCAAGGAGACGGACTTTCCTTTTGCCTCTGTTGTGGACCTGAGAAGATCAACCGACCTTGGTGAATGGACAACGGTACTGAAACCAACCCCTCGACATCGACACGAGAGTTTTGTACTTCCCTTTAAAAACAGTGTTTGAAATGAAGACTGTCAAATATACCATAATTTATTTATTCCTCTTTAATGTTTATAAAGTGCAAGAGTAATATTGTTCATACTTGAAGTCTAGTAGTGTACTACGTACTTCATTTAAAAAAAAAAAAAAGATGTGTATTTTTGAATGCCCATTTTGAAGTGAAGTAGTTTACATAGCCACAGCAAATTTGGGGCAAGTTTAGAAACACTGAAACAGTAGTAGTTTTTGATATCACATGGAACATAGCCAAGCCTTTGTCAGTCAGAGGTAATCATAAGTTTTTTTATACAACTTAAAAGTTACTAAAATTCTTTTTCTCAGCAGCAATAATTTGAGGCTTCAAAAATATAATGCCACTGGTTCTTATTTGGTGTTTTATTTAGGGGGATTTTGTGTACTTTTTAATGACAAGATAAATGCATGTTGGGATACTTCCTGGGATTAAAATAGTCTTTTGCCTTTCTTTTGGCTTCCTATAACGACTTTACTGACTTTTTTGTTTAGTCCATACTATTATTGTTTGTTTTAAAGCAAATTTAATCTACAGATATCAAAAGGAAACATTTTAAATTTAGAGATGAGACTTTGGTATCAAATAGGTTGACATTTCATCCCCTCCTTGTACCCAGCACCCCCATCACACCCTCTACCACCCAACCCAAAAGTAATGCTCAGTTATATAGGCTTCACTGAGTTTCCTGGGGAGATGAAGGAGCAGTGCTTAGATGGTGATGCAATTTCATCAAACTTTGCTATTAGACACTGTGTTAGTTTTCTGTTACTGTGACAAAATAGATGAGATAATCAACTCAGGAGGGAAAGTTTATTATTGTGGTTCATGGTTCCAGAGGTTTCAGTCCATGGTTACTTGGCCCTGTTGCTTCTGGTGGTACAGTACATTGAGGTGGGAGCATGTGGAAGAGGTTTGTTCTCATGATGGCCAGGAAACAGAGAGGCAGGGCTGAGGTCCCAGTACCCTACCTTTCAAGGGCACAACCCCAGTATTCTAACTTCCCTTCTGCTAGGCCTCATCTCCTAAAGGCAGCACTGCTTCCAATAGCACCAAGGGTTGAGGACCGGCTTTAACACCATGGGCCTTTCGGGGATATTTATCCAAACAATAGCACTGCTCTTCTGGGTCTTTTCATTCCCGATAAACCTGTCATAAAGTCCCTTCTCTTTCTTCCCAAAGGCAATTAAACGCTTTCCTTCAGTTTACAAATTTCACTTAACAAAAAATACAGTCACTGACTTGTGATGGTTTGACTTATTTTTGAGTTTATGATGATTGACAGCAATATTCATTAAGCAGAAATTGTAGTTTGAAGCTCTTCCTGGGCTAGTGCTATACAGCACGATCTTCTCTGGAAGCTGGGCAGCAGATGAGCCAGCCAGCCGTGTGATCCAAGGGCAACCACCAGTGCTCTAGCTAGTGGCCATGTTGCTAGTGTTTGGATATAGGCGTTCAATATGATGTGCCATATTCAACATAATATAAAAGAGGGTGTTAGATGATTTACCCAAAAGTAAGCTAATGAAAGGTTCTGAGCATGTTTATGGTAAGCTGGGCTGTGGTGTCTGTGTGGGAAATTCATTTTTTATTTGCAGTATTTTCAACCAATAGTGTTTTTTTTCAAAGACGCAACCTCATCATAAATCAAGGAGAATCTGTGGTGGGTATTTAGGAAGCAAAACCCACATTCAGCAAAACAACAAAAACCTACCTTCAGATGTTTCCCTTTGGGGACTTACTACTACACAAGTTTTATTAACAAAAAGTTTTGGGCTCTCTGCTTAACCTACCAGTTTTCTGAGTTAAAGAAAGTTATCTTATACCTTAAATTTCACAATCTAATAGAGCATTGGAAGAGGGACAAGTTACCTCGTTAAAATTGATATGCTAAGATAAGGAGTATGTGGAATATGGAGACTTTTAACCAATGATAAAAATAAAAATCTCATTCTTACAAACCAGAAGCTCTCAATTCACTTGAGTCCAGAATTGGATGTTCAAAAGCTGAAAGACCTGTATTCATTTGCATGCTTGCTCAACAGGACATGTTATAACAAGTATTTGTTTAGAGTCAATTCTGGGTTAACACTGAGCCAGGTGCTGGGCAGTGAGGTCAGCTGACACTACACTCCAGGATGAAGTGAAATCAACTTGGGTCTTGCCTCACAGCATTCTCTTTTGCTAAAAAATATCTATTTGGTGGTGAATCATGACGACAACCCAGAGCTTAGTTTTTTAAGTCTCCTGGTGGGAAGGGAGAGAAGTTGGGAACTTTTAGGATAAAGGTGTTCCATTCCGCTGCTGTGGTGGAAATCAATGGGAATCTGATGCATTCGTGACCCACACTTTCTTCCTTTCTTTAAACAGGGGCCGCTTCCTTCTTCTGGCTGAGCTGCTCCTTTTTTGCCCTCAGGCCTTATGGTCCCAATCATCACTGCACAGGCCTGTGCTCAGGGATAAGCATCTTTGACCAGTTGGGGTCCTTCTCTGAACTGTTAAAACATGGGCAGAGAGACAGATCTTTCTTCTTTGGGGGCCCCCAAAGGCAATGCTATTTGCCTAGAGTTGTCTGCTAGCTCCTTCTCCCTCCTTCTCCCCACCCTGTGGAGGAAACCAGTCAATCAAAGGAAAGAATGAGGTCAACACACAGATACACAACAGAGACATCAGATGATGTGCAAAGTCCCTGAAATCTACTCCAACTGTGGACAAGTCATATGACCCAATAAATGTTTCCCTGTTTGTGTGTGCAATACCAGGAGAGCTCTGATTAATGTAAACTCATATGATCCCCATTAATAATTTAGTAACTGGCAACCTAAGCCAAATTCAAGCATAAGACAAAAAGGATAACAGTGCCCATAGTGGATATCCCATGTCACGCTCTTGCCACAGTGAAACAATTGAGCCACTCTGAAACATGCAAATAATGAAGTGACCTTCAAGAACATGAAGTGTTTATTTACAGCTATTATTTTTTTAGTATATTAAGTATATTAGTAAATTCAATTCCCACACAAATTTGTTAATTCAACAATAAAAATAGAAATTTCTCGCACTATAAACCCCCCCCCCCCAAAAAAAAAAAAAAAAAAAGAAAGAAAGAAGTCAGACAGAATATTTGTTAGAAGTAAGGGATACATCAGATAATTCAGACTCTTCAAACAGGGAGTTGCTTCTTTCTGCTCCCTTTAAGTCTTCCATCTTCACAGGGTGATTAAAATGTAGAGTAAGGTCACAAAGCAATAACTGGGAGAGCTCTGAGTAAAACAAAATCATGGCAGACATTATAGGACACATGTCATAAGTAACTCTAATTGCTCTAAGAAGCTATTCCTAATTTAGTTTTTTCAAATGATTACTGATCAAACTACAATTCAGGTGTGCCTTAGATTTATATACTACATACAGGTATGATGTAAAACTTGACTGGAAATACTTTTTAGGCCTAATAGTCAGCAATTTTCCTACACTGTTAACTAGATTTTTACAAATTTGATTTGTACATTTTTTTTGGGGGGGGTGTACCAGGGATTGAACCTGGGGGCACTCAACCACTGAGCCACATCCCCAGCCCTATTTTGTAGTTTTTAAATTTAGAGACAGGGTCACACTGAGTTGTTAAGCATCTCACTGTTGCTGAGGTTGGTTTTGAACCTGCAATCCTCCTGCCTCAGCCTGCGATTACAGGTATGTGCCACTGCACCTAGCTACATTTTTAAACATCTTTATTTAAGTTATACATGCACATAGAATCAGGTCTACAAGGCAAGTTACAAAAAATAGTTTCTCTCATTTTAACTTTGTTGCTTTTGTTGTATCATGTCCCTTCCTTTTTTTTTTTTTTTTTATTGGACTGAGGGGGGATTAAGTAGTTTATTCCTATATCTCTAACTGGAATTTCTTTCTAATTTGGAGGGTTGTGCCTTGTGGATATAGCTCTTTCACTCAATCCCTACTCCCCCAGTAAGAGGGCAGTTCTTGGTAGCTCAAATATTTAATGCTTAATTATATTAATATTTTTCACAGCTGAGTCTTGTAAGTAGGATATGTTGTTTCTTGCAAGCTACCTCCCAAGCACAATAATTATATTCTACTTTTTTCATTGTGTATTAGGACCATATCTCAAAGCTTTAGCAGTTCCACTGCAGCACTCTGAGACAACTGCTCTCTAGGACTGCTGTGCGACTGTGTGCACCTAGAGAGCTCCCTTCACCATTATCTTAGGGACTCCCTTTCCACCCCTTCCCTTCTGTGGAGTGGCTCTTTTCCCAGAATCTTCATGCATCTCTCTTTTGGTCTGCTATTTGTTTGGACACAGGTTCAGTAAATTCCAGGGACAAGAGGAGCTATATAATCTAAAAATTTCTCTTTATATACTAATGTCCAATTATGCAGGTTGTCTACCTATAGAAATTCAAATTGGAAACTATTTCTGCAGATTTCCAAAGGCATTGCTGCACTGTTTTCTAACTTCCATGTTGCTATTGAGAATTTTTACGATATTCTCAATCCCTATCATCTTTTCAGACATTTGAATGCTTTTTTTTGTTCTCTCAGTATTCTGAAATTTCACAATACTATGCCTTGGTATGTGTATCTATTTTCATCCATTGTGCTGGGCTCTTCCATTGTAGAAATTCCTGTCCTTTAGCTCTGGGAAAATTTCTCAGATTATGTTTTCAATGAATTCTTCCTATCTATTGTCTATGTTCTAACAGTATTTATTAAATGTTGTACTTCCTTCACTGATCTTGTCACTATTCTTACACTAAAATTTTCCATCTGTTGTTTTGCTCTATACCCTAGGGGGATTTCTTCACTTTACTTTTCAGTCTTTCTAGAGTTTTTCACTTCTACTTTCATACTTTAATTTCCAAGCACTCCCTTTTGCTCCCTAAATATTTTTATAGTATCTTATTTCTTTTTAGTGGCTTTAGCATCTTCTCCAACTTCTCTGTGGATATTAATAGTAGTTTCCTGAAGTTTTATCTCCCTTCAGAAATTGTTTCTCTCTCACTGATTTCTAAGTTTTGCTTTTCATATTTAATGCCTTCTTCAAATATCTGTTACACCACAGTTTTGGCAGATGTTTAAGATCATGACAATAAAAAGAACTGGAAACTCCATCTCACAGTGTTTATATTATCGGGTAACCATTCTGGATTATTTGGTTGGGGGAATCTCTACTTTCTTTAGGTCTTTATTCTTAGGTGATCAAATTCCTGAAAGAAAAAAAAATCTGAAGGGTATAAATCTGGATTTACGTGTTTTGGTGGCCATTTTAGGATGTCTAACAATTTAGTATGTAAACTTTGTCTAATATCCTATTTTCAGTATAGTCCTCTCCCTAAACTGTGTCTGGTGGCTCCAGGAAGACATTCCTTGTTTTAACCATGGCTTTAATGTCACAGAAGGTGGATGGTTGCCCAGTTACAGGGCAGAAGAGACCTCAGGGATTTATGATTTCTTAACATTTAACTAGTGTTCCCAGTTATCCAGCTCTGCTCCACCCTCATTTCTGGACAATTCTGGGGTCACCATGTATTGAGTCTTGAGAGTTTATTTCTTGGTTGTAGCCAATCATCTTAAGAGTTCAGAATTTTATGGACATCAGAGTTTAGACTTATTTCTTCCCCTTGTATCTATTTTGTTGTTATTTATCCATCTCTTAAACCATATAGATTTCTGACTCTTTATAAATTTTAAAATTAGGTCTACTACTCACTAGTTGCTTGACTTTGATAAAATTAACTAACCTATTTTACACATCTGTCATTGTCCAACCTTATAGCATTGTTATTACAATTAATTGAATTCACTTATGTGGAGCTCTTAGAAGAATACCTAAATCATGTAAAATTCTGTTATCCATTGACACTATTATTTTGGGAAGAAGTGAGTATAACTGAAGCATTCATTTAGTCCTTACCAGAAATTTACCCTTCTAGTCTAGCTCTTTAGGTCCTCATATACTAACTGCCTGACTACCGTACCCACACAATTTTTCAGGTACACGTTTATCATCTCTATTTACTTCCTGAAAGAATATTTCACAAATAATCAAATCTTGGAGGAATGGAAAGACTAATTGTTTCAAATGAGTTCAAGCATCCAGAAACATTATTTTTTATTTAATAAAAATTTTCAAGAACCCCTATCAAGAAACTGTGTTAAGTGATAGAAATACTCTTAATGAGCCTCCAGTTGGGCAGGGAGAGAAAAAGCAAATAGATATACAATTACAACACAGTATAATACGTTATAGGGAAGGGTAAAAGGAAAACATATGGGTTCAAAAAAAGCAATGTAAGTGACCTCAACAAATAAGGAGCAGTTAACCTAGTATGGAGAAGGTGAGGTGTAGTAATGGGATTTCAGAAGGCCTATGTATTAGGGCACAGACACAAAACAGATGCATGGTTGTGCTAATAATTCAGTATCATCAAAGCACAAAATATGCAGGGAAAAAAGGGTGAGATTAGAGAGGGAGGCAGGGCCAGATCTCAAAAGGATGTATTATACAATCCATTCTAGAAGTCTTGGATTTCATCCTGAAGATAATGGTGAATCAAGGAAGGTTTTCAGAAGATTTTCATTTTAGGAAGAGAATCTTCACATAGTGTTGATATTTTGAGAGATAATAAATGTTAATCAGATTTCTTTGTAACAAACTTCTCATTCTGTTAATATTCACTGTGAATTTGTGAAATATACAGTATAAAGCACTTCCCCAACTTTTTGACCATTAGAAAATATTCTGTTTTATTGCATATCATCTATTAACATCTCTTGAGACAGCAGGGTTCACAGACCAAAGTTTGAAAAATGCTACCCTAGGGAATACTTTTCGTTGGGACAAAGCAGAACAGGCACTCACTATTTGGTGCCTAACTAACAGCCACTCCCTTCTTCTCCTTGGTGGCACAACTTGGTTCCATTTGAGGTGCTCCTTTCCCCAGCTCCCGCAGTGCGTTCTGACTGGTCCAAACTGGTCTTGGCAGTCCCATTCCCCTTGGCTTTGGCTGCTGTAGGAATCTGCAAGTGATGCAAATCTGGCCAATGAAAGGAGAGGGGAAATGTGCTGCAGGCATCTGGGGAATGACTTAAATAGAGACAGGCAGAGATAATGTCTGTATATGGCCATCTCTGAAGGTAATGACCATGAGCAGTGAGTGATAAAGAGAGTGAACATGACAGAGAAAAAAGATGGGAAGAATCTGGTCTCTAATGAAATCTTTAAGCCTCTGAATTCACTCTGGGGATGCTCTCCATTAGATCTAAACATTCCTTATTGCAGAAGTCACGCTAAGTTGATATTTTATTACTTGAAGCTGGAGGACTCACCACTAATAAAGGCTATCTTCAAATATTCAAGAGTGGTAAGAAGAATAACTACATATTTGATGTAGTTTTCATGGTTAGAATAAGACCCACAGATAAAAGGAACAAAGGAACAGATTCAGCTAGTCCATAAAGAGGAACTGTCAAAAACGGGTTGGGTTGACTGATGATACGGAGTTCCCCAAGACACGGAATGTCTGTTCAAGGATAGATTATCCATAGAAATAGTATATCATGGAAATTTCACATACCTAAGATAAAATAATGGAATATTTTTGTTTGGTGACTGACTAAACATGAATTATAAGGTCTGCTATCACTCTCTGAACATGGTTAAAATAAAGAATCTGTAACTCACAGAATCAAAATTCTTAATTTGGAATGAACCTTAGGGACTTACTGAGTTCATCAATAAAGTTGCAGAATTTTGTAGAATGTGTCATAATCACTGAATAGTGTGCTGAAGGAAAGGAAGAGAGGTAAATTTAGACATTAGACAACATGAGAAGCTTGTTAGTGTTAGGGATAAGAACAGGATCTTCTAATTCCTGGGTTGACCTGATTCATTTTACTGTCAACATTTCCTAATAGAGAAATCCAACACAAATTTGCTCTACCATTTACTTTATAACAACATGCAAACGTTTTAATTTAGTGATTTTATTCTTACCTTTCATCTTCTTCAACTCCAAAGAGATTGTGTTAATGTCTTTAATCATGGCTTCCACCTTTTGTTTATGATCAGTAACATTATTCTTAAACATCTGTTTTAAAAGAAGAAAAATGACATATAAACCAGAAGTATTTATGTGTACTTTAAAAATACTTGAACTTTTAGCATTTCTAAAAAAAAAAAATTCCTCTTGTATGTACTTTTGTATACCTCTGAGGGTCTCCTTCCATTTCCATGCATTTTCCCTTCTCTCTCCCTTTCCCTCCCACCTCTCATCCCTGTTTAATGTTAATCTTCTTCTCATGCTCTTCGACCCTACTCTGTTCTTATGTGTAACTGACGTGATTCTGCAATCTGTATATGGGGTAAAAATGGGAGCTCATAACCCACTTGAATCAAATTGTGAAATATGATATATCAAGAACTATGTAATGTTTTGAACAGCCAACAATAAAAAATTAAAAAAAAAAAAAAATTACTTCAGAACTGATACTTTATTTTTAGGCTTAGTATCTGGCTTCATCTAACATAGAAAGACATCATCAATGTGTTTTATAATATTTTTCCAAATGAAAACAACTCCTACTGGAATTCTTGGGATAAAGGTGTTTTGGTTTTTTCTTCTTCTTTAATTATACCATATCCACAAGATGGGGCCCTTAAAATGGAAATGAAGATGGCCTCTTTTCAGAAAGCCTCAGTACTTATATACCACCTTACAATTTAGCAGTTATACAACACTCTCTCTGATTTTGTTTATGTAAGTCAATGTCTCTAATTTATTCTTGAATGACATGATCCACTTATGATTTTTTTTAAGTACACAGTAAAATCAAAATAGGATTTGATTATAACTCAGATGACAAAATGGCTACTTTAGGGTTAGGAGTTAAGCAGCACACATTTTAATTTGGGTTAAAGGAAGTGTATAAGTCAACACGTTACCATGTTATATACAAAGTATTTTACATGTACTTAATCCAATCAGATACAAGTATAAAGACACGTGATTGAATAGAAACTAACCTCAGCCCTCAGATGTCTCTCAAAATGACTAGAAAAATAACACACAATTAGCACACAATTCCTCCAGCAGTGTGAAAGCTGGGCAGTTAAGGGTCAGGCTGCTTGCCCAAAATAATGAAAACTAACCTTTAAATCAATCCTTGCAACTGCCTTTTCTTGAACCAGAGGAATTTATCCTATTTTACTCACTTCAGAGACACTGTAACAGAAATAGTTTTGTTTTCCAGACATCAATCAGCAAAATGCACTTCACACCCCCTTTTAAGGCTCTCTGTGCTACAAAGGGAGTGTCAACAACCTTAGCTGGGCATGCCAAACCAAAAGATAAAGGACTGAGGGGAAAGGAAACATGATTTAAAAAAAAAAAAAAAAAAGAGAAAGTAATAAAGAGGGTGGGCAGGGCTGGGGTGGTGGAATTAAAGTACTTTAAAAGCAAAGAATAAGTGTAAAACTAAAAATAAAAAGCAAGAGTAAAACCAACTGGGCAGCAAAATGCCCAAGTGAATGGATTCCACCCGCTGGGTGTGAGTGCCCACAACAGGCGACCAGGGCCAGGAAGAGTCTGGCCTTCTCCAGGGAGCTGGACACAGCTGGCGGTAGGGGTGGTTAAACCGCGCTTCACCAGGAGGTTAGGCAAGAGGCCAGAAGTGGAGACCCCGCTCTGGGGACAGCATATCTGGGTCCAGGGAAGCCAACGTGTCACAGACCAAAGGCACCTAGGCCACTGAAACACTGGCCCTTCCCAAGGGGCGCAGTGGCCAGGACCACGGCAGGTTTTCCCTAAACCCCGCCCTGTTGACCCAACCGTTGCAGCAGCCCACCCTGGCCTTCCCTGTGCCCAACTGCAGCCCAAGGGCCGCCGCACCCGGGGAAATGGATGGTTCCCCAGCCGCCCTGGATCACAGCTGGGGGAGTCCCTGGCCACCTGTCAGCCCAGGCCCTTCCCACCTAACCGCCTGGAGGAGCCCAGGAAGAGCCCCCGCAAGGACCGCCTGCCTGCCCGGTGGCTGGAGAAGGAGCCTGGAGAATGCGGTCGTCCTTGCCCTCCGACACCCCACTGGGCTAGTTAACTGAGTAACCCCGCCTGCCCTGCCCCTCAAGCGCCGGCCCTCAGCACCCACCTGGCCAACCCTCACGAAGTTCTGACTGCGAGGCGCGCTGAGCAGGCGCTGACTCAAGGCCGGCTTCCTGATTGGCCGGCTTCTCCGCCTGGGACTATCTGATTGGCCGGCTCCTCCACCTGGGGCTTCCTGATAGGCCAGCTCTACAGCCCGAGGCATCCTGGGAAGTGCAGCTCTTGGCTTTCGTCACTAAGGAGAAGGTTCTGGAAGCCAGGCTGCAAGTGAACCCCTGGATGAGGAAGGTGCTGACGTGTCCCCCTTTGAGGCCAGACCCTGGGCCCAGACTGCTTGGTTTTGAATCCTATTCCGCCATTTGTTTAGCTGCAGTGTAGCCCGAGTCCCAATGCGCTCGTCTATCATACGGGATGACAGCTGACTTTGTTATTTTGAGAGTTGAGATAATTCCTTCAAAGTGCTCGGTGCTGTATAAGTGCCCCATAACTGTTAGCTCTTATTATTCCGATACATTTTTTTACAGATGAGTAAAGAGTATACAGTAAGCTGAGAGGTACCGTGGTGTCTTGCCAAGCGGAGAGGCTGGGATTCAAGCCATCTTTGCTGGATTGCAAGGGGACTCTCACTCATCCCTTGGTGCTGGCCCACAGGTTTTACGTGGTGCCCTGGTTATTGTCCTAGTCTTGGTGAGGAGCTTGGTCTCCTCCACCTCAGGTGCTAGGAAGGTCTTCACCTTCTGTAAGCTTCCTCTATAATGCACAGTAGCCACTTGGACCAGTGCTTTCCTGATAAGCCACAGAGTAGCCTGTTCGTTATTATTCATTTTAACCATGGAGAATTTATTATCTAATCCAAAGCTAGATGAGACACATGGGCTATACCAGTATTTTCCAGATTTCACCCAGGGATGGTCAGGGTAATGAATGCTTGACATAACCTCGTACTACTGACGTTACTATTATTACCTCTATATTTTAAAATTTACTTCCTTTGAAATTTTAAGTTTACTTTTAAATCTGTAGGTCATCAGTGTAAATGGAATAAAATATTAACAGAAGGTTAGAGGGAAAATAAGGAAAATGAAAATAAGACAGTATTTTAAATAATTAGATGAGCTTGCCTCCTGATCAATGAGGGATCTTTGTTAAAGGGTCTTAATGTTAGAGAAGTGTTAAAGGCAGTGTAGGGAAAACAGACATTCTTCTGAATAAAATCAAAGATTTTTAAAGAGCTGAAAGAGGAATACCTCTCATTGCTTGGGTATACATTGTTTAATGCCTATGTTGCCACATGTAGATATCCCTCGTATTACTGGTGGGACATGTCCCCTGCTTTTTAGAATTTAGGATTATACACTCTCCAATAATTATTCCCCTTCTAAGACTTCTTAATTCTCAATGTGCTATATGTTCCTTTCAAAATCCCATAGGCAGCTTCTTGAATAAACCCTACCCAACTCTGCAGTTTCACAAAAGCCTCAGTGCTGATGCATGCTTCACATGATAGTTTAAATGTAAGCACTGGTGGTATTTGTTTCTGCATGTGTGCTGAGTGTGTTTCATGTAATACTCTGAGTGCTGAGTAAGGTATAAAAAAGAGTCAACAGAACAAAACTCTTTGGATACCCACTGTCTGTCATATGTATGTCAGAAGCTTTAATTTTCTGATAACCCAATCTATGGACAAAGAAACTTACTCTCATCTCAGTTCCTGCTCAAGGGTTCAAGGCCAGGAAAGGACAGAACCTTGTACATCCTATTTGTGCGATTCTGGGTCCTTCCATTATTTCCTCTATGATATGTTGTCTTATAGAACAGAGTGCCACCTGCCTTGGGCTGAATTAAGGACATTAACAATACAAATAAGACAAGAGCCAGCATTGCTGTTTTATAAAAGCAAGGGTAATTAACATCAAAACAAAAGGAAAAATAAAAGGAAGAATACAATTTCAGAGTAAGGCTAACCTAACAGAAAGTTTACCAGATATATCCTTATTTTGATGCAGACAAAAGAAAACTTCTCCCCAGACCTACAGGATTCCCTCTGTATGTTTGGAAGCACCCTGTAGATAACAACAAAAGAAAATAAGCTATTTGGGAGAAGTTGAAAACAGTAGGTGAGGGAGCATAGCCTTAAGACCGAGGACCCCAAAGATCAAGCGATGGCAGAGTTGGCTTAGGCAGGACGTAGTGTCCCAAGCTCCCAAGCACATGGAACTGTTTCAGGAATGAACCAAGAATTTTCAGGAACTGCCCTGCCTAACCATGGCTAGGATCTACCTTACCAGACTCACAGAACTTTTTCATGGGATCTGAAGTCTTTTCTACCCACCCCAAAGCTCTGATTTTTTTCTTATAAATAGATTCAAATGACTGCATATGAAACAGGACCTCATTGAGCTGTTCATTCACAAAGAAGTTTCAACTTTGTGTTTCTTTTAACTAAGTGTTATAAGGAAAAAACAGATTAAAAACTCAGAAAAAAAAATAAAATAAAATAATGTATTTTCATCCATAAAATTATCTTGGAGGAATGATGACTACTTGTTGTTGTATTTTTACCTCCTTAAACAACTATACATCTGTCTTTTTGGTTTTTCCCTAATAAGATAAAACTTTTAAAACATGATCTACTACTTAATGCGTGAGACTATTATAGTTAAGACCCTTAAAAAAAAATCTGTCTTCTTTAATCAGTCTGTGAATACAACAGTTTCCTGGAACCCAACACAGGTTGTGTTGCTGTTGTTGATTCTAATGTTAATCAAATGAAGGAGATTAAAAGGCTGGTAAATTCCCCCCTAAAGAGAATGGCAGTTATCAAAACTGGGCGATTAAGCATTTTATGGAGCCAAGTCTGTGCCTCAGTTAGCTTTATTACAAATCATTGACACAAAGTCCTGGTTTCCAGGAAAACAAATTGAGTGAATTATCTCACTTCTTCCACTGGATCTCAGGGCTCCCATTTCCCTCCTCTGCCTGCTCATTAT